ATTGGTTTCGCAGACCAAACGGATGTCATAACTTTCTCTAGTTTATTTGATCGAGTCTCACCCTCAATTCTTATGTTCATCCTTCGGGATAGATACAGGATTTGAGGTAAAACGCTCTTTCATCTAAATTATGAAAATTATGGGGTCAGTTTGACTTCATCTTTTTCAAAAATAAAAATTTTTAAGAACGTCCTTCCGAAGCGGGCAACCGGATTTCAATTCCGATGACCGACAGCTTTTTACGGGCAAACCCCACACAAAAAATAGTGCCGACACTAAGCATAGGATGTTTTGTTTTCAGAGTTTTGAGTGTTGTGGCTTGGATTGCGATGTTGAATTAATATATTGGGGTTGAGAAAATACCAAACTTAGGTGTGGTATGTAACATAAATTGTAACTCTTGGAATTTATATATAATTGTGATGTTTTGTGTTGTGAAAGTTTATTTGTGATAAGTACATCATTTAATCACTTAAAATTATGTCTATAATGATTGAACAGATGTCGTCGAGGCTTGAAATTGATCGAAATTGCAAAAATCTAAAAATTGAACCAAATCAATAGAGCCCGCCGACAGCACCCTCGATGCCACCGACGGCGGACTTTTCCCGAGCTTAAGATATAATTTCAATAGAGCACGCCGATGGCGCTGAATACCCCGCCGAAGGTGAGATCCCAAAAAAACACCTTTAACCACGATTTTGACCAGTCAACCACCACTATTCATCATCCCCTTCTTTTGAAAAAACTAGGACTTGAGAAATCTTAGATTGTGAGGCGATTTCAAGGCATTTAGACACCGAATTTGATCATCTCTAGATAAGAGCTTCACTCCAAGTTAAAAATATTTGATTTTCACCATGAATTTCTTCCACATTGAGGAGATCCAAAAAATTTGAGAATGTGAAGAAAATATTGGGAAGAAATTCATGGAACTTAGTGTTGAACTCTTAGAATTACTTTTGGAAGCCATTATTTGCATATTTGAAGTATATTTTTGAATTTTGTTATTATTGTGATTAGATTGAAATGGCTCCACAACAAAAGAGACAACTTGAGTTAGACGAGTCTCGCTTCATCAATGTGAAGGCTCAATTGAAGTGCTCAATCGAGATTTACTTCAGTGTTTGAAGGAAAGAGGTGTATACAAGATCGAGTTTTTGAGAGTCCGGATGGAGAAATTGAACGAGTTATTACCGAGCAGAGGTGGGAAAACTTCTATTACACCACTAATAAAGCTGCTGCAAATATTGTGAAATAATTTTATGCTAACGTGTTCTATTCTGAAGACAGAATCGTTCAAGTGCGGGAATTTCCTGTTTAATTTAATGCCGACCGCATTAACACCTTTTATGAAGTCTCAGACTCTTATAATTGTCTTTATGAATCCTTCAGTACTATGGAAGGCCCCCTGAATGATGTGATCAACTTTCTCACTGATGGGAAAGGGATGTGGAAGATTAAGCAACGAGAATGGGAAAATTTTTCTTCTTCCATGTTGAACGCCACCTCTAAGGCATGACACTATTTTATTTCCTCTACTCTATTACCGACTTATCACCATAGTGAGGTAACTAGAGATAGGGCTATTCTGAATTTCTGTATTCATAATAATAGAAATATAAATGTGGGGAGGATTATTTTTAAGAATATATT